ATGAACTCCAACTTGTTCGTGAGGGCACAGTAGACGAAGGAACTAGAAGTCAGTACGAGTTATTCCTCAAACAAGGTGAATCTCTCCAAACAAGAAGGGAATTCCTTCGACGTGGACTTGGACGACTTGAGGAACAGGTTTCAAATGCTAGAGGAGCCAATGGAACACATAGCAGAAATCCGGATCCCGACCCGTCCGTTGACGTTAAAGAGCTGAAAGAAGATATTGGCGCCCAGATGCTTTACGCGTCTCCAGATGATGCATTTGTCACCGACTTTGACAACCGTTTTATTATCCACAACATCCAATTGAAGTGGAATAATTCTTTACGAAATATTGTTCTTCGGTACATCCACCAAAATAGCCAACGCCGAGGTTTCGTTTACTACATGTCTCGTCGTGCCGTCAATTTCATCCTAGATATTGTTGAAGAGCAAGGCAAATCCAAACTGCAGCCGATGGGTAGCCGGCGCCAGTCTTCCGGTCATATACCGGACCAAGCGAGCCAAGATAAAGATGACGAGGTGACGGTGGAAGCTCGAATTGAACAGTTGCTCAATGATGCGAAGCGGTATGTCAATGCGGATGATTCAATGAACCCCCACGGCACGCAAGAGGAACCTAAGAAGCAGGAAGAAATCGCTCCTGAGTTTAATGCCCACAACAGCTACCATGTCAGATTGATTGCTCCGCAGATTCAGCTCCAGAGCGAGAAGAACAAAAAAACTGTTGCGCTTGTGACTGCTAAGGGCATGCAGTTGAAAGTAATTTCAATCCGGGACAAACGACGAGAATCAGATGATGTTAGCGGCCTCGTGCAGCGCCGATTCACTTTGGATATGGATAGCGCTCAATTTTTCGTTGCGACCCAAAAGACGTTCTCCAGCCATGCCCATATATACTGCGGAAACAGATATGGAAACCCTCCCGGAGCAGCCTGGCCCCCATGGGTATCCCTAGAGTCCATGTTTGAATTCGACCGCGATCCGTCTGGGCTGTCCCGCATTATCCAGAAAACGTCTGCCAGCCTTCGATATGACAAATACAACACCTTACGTCTAAAGTACAATGAGAAGGTTGCTAAAGGAGACGGTGAACGAGTTTGCGATTCGATTGCCAATGAGAACAGGATTGATCAAATTTCGATCAATTTTCCACAGGTCCGAGCAATCTGCGATTCGTCTCAGTATTATTCGATGTATGTCATTGTACTGGACCTTCTACTTTACAGCGAGCCGTTAGAGCAAGTCCGAAATGAACGGTTGGAGAAGATAATGTTGGCTTCAGACTTTAGCGATCTCAGAGGCGCTCCCGAGATGGTCAACAAACTTCAACAGCGAATAAGGCACCTCGAAGATATTAAAAATCTCTTCCAAATACAGTCAAAGTACCTAGATGCCCAGGGGTGGAAGGATCGCTTGGCGGTGGAAAAGGATTTGGCAACCTGCGAAGATGAACTATTCTTTATTATGAAGGCTATTACTACTTCACAGCGGAAGAATGAGGAGCGTACAAAACATCATTCTAGCGGTCTTTTGAGGTGGACGCTGTCAGCATCGGAAATCGTGTGGCACTTAATGAGGGAGCATGGGGAGCCGCTTGTTGAGTTCCAATTAAGGAACGCTGCCTATGAGCGAACGGATAATATAGACGGGTCGAATCACAACGCGATTGAAATCCAACGTATCTACGGACTTAATCTTCTCTCCAGTGCGATATATCCGCAGATGATTGTGCCATATCTGGATGAACAGCGTCAAAATCCTCAAAAGGAGGACGATAGGATGCTGAAAGTTAATTGGTACATGCTCGAAGCTATTGGCGGAATTCCAATATTGGATGACTTCGAGGTGACCCTATTCCCGCTGAAGGTTCAATTGGAGCGAGAGTTGGGGCAGAAGCTGTTTGAATACATTTTCCCAGGAGTTGGCTCAAATGCCTTTGAAAACGGGGGTTTCTCCCCCTTCATGATCAAGAAAATGGACCCGCTTGAGGATGATGATGAGGAGGATAGCGATGATAATGCCGAGTTGCCTACGCCAGGAGCAAGCACTGGTAGTGGATCGGCCGATGACTCGCAGAGCTCTTACCCCGGCGCCATTGAAATGAGGCTGAAGCCCACACTTACATTACAAGACACTACTCGGTCGAAATCTCCGGCTCGAAGGCCAAAGATACCTGGATTTACCCACATAAGCAAGGATGCTGTGAAGCAGAAAGCTGGAGCCGCGGGAGATCGATCCCGATCTGCGACACGAACTCCGCCGTTGAGCCGCCTTCCAGTAAAGAAAAACTCTGTTGACAGCCTGCGACTGCTTGGGAGATCCCAGACCGGAGGGGCTTTAACGGTGCAATCGACAACTTCTGTGAACGATGACAAGCACAGGAGGTTCGCCCTATCTCGATCCTCGACAAGAGCTTTTAACAAATCCGACGGTCAAGTCGATGACGTCTCGCATATGATGTCAAGGGCATCAAATTACATGATCTTAACACATGTAAAGATCAACGATGTTGTCCTCTGTTTAAGCTATAAAGGAAGAGGCGAACGCAATATCGAAGACGTTCACGATTTTGTGTTCAGACTACCAGTTCTAGAATATCGCAATAAGACTTGGTCTAACCTTGACCTTGCATTGCGTCTAAAGAAGGATGCGATCAAAGCTCTCATTTCGCATGCCCCTGCAATCCTCGGCAACAAATTTTCACATAACCGTCCAAATAAGCAGCAACAAATGCGGCTTCGGGAACTCGCCAGCTCGAAGCAAGTCTTCGCTTCAGATAGCATCTCGAACGTCTGTCCCTCAGACGGGTCAAACAGCATCGTCAGCCGTAGCTCCACCGAGCAGTCTGAATCACCTCGTCGGTCATTTCAGTCAAACTCTTCGCCGTTTTCCGGTGCAAAATCTATTATTTCCGGCTTTCATTCAACCGGGCCCTCAATGCCTATCCATGACTCCCGTTCTGCGAGGAGTTTGAACATGGATGCTTGCGACGATGTAAATCCCCCACCACCTTAACTTCATTTGAATAGATAGATAAAGCTAACATATCTCTAGTCTCGGAGTTTCCAAGATGAACTCACGCGTCGACGAACGGGCGGTGACGATTACGAGGTCGAGAAAAAAGACCAGAAACCCCAGAAGTAAGCTGATCTCGAAGACTCTTACTTGCTTGGCCTAGCACTGATTATATAGTAGAACTCGTCTACGCAAAAAGTCTCTCACTCAACTCCGTCGCAAGTTCTTGGGGGCTCCAGATTAGAGCTTGCCCATTATCTTCCCACTGGTGTCCTTAACATCTCTCCGTTATATCCTGACACAGCTCATGTCCTTCACTCGAACCGATACCAATACCGTTGTTGAACCCATTTCCCCACACGCTCACACTGTAACTGGTTCTACCTCCCCATCTTGTACTCGTCCTCTGCTAACCCTCATCCCCACACCTCTTCTCTACATATACAACCCAAATTTCATATTTTCCCATCTGTGCGCAAATTTTACGCGTACAAAATACACACAAAGCATCTAGATGGGTCTTTGGCTGGTTGGCTCTCTGTTTTGACCTCGGCTGCATTTTGGCGTTGGGGCAAGCGAGCATACAGGAAGCATTTAGTTCTCGTTTTGGCTTTCCCCGTTGTGCGTTTCCTTATCTCACCCGATATTCGATTTAATCGTTCGTGATTTGGCTTCTCGTTGCCCCCTTAACCCCCTTGCTGCTATGCAGATGCTTTGTTCAGTACATAGTGACTTTCCCCGCGATATAAGCATATATGTACATAGGCCGGTATATACAGGCGCAGAATGGAGCCTATCAGAGACCATTCTGTCGCGTGGGTCTTGACAGAGATTGGTTGCTTTTCTTACGTGACAGCACTGAAGCTTGTCATAGTCGATATACAAAGTAAAAATCTTTTGATCTTATACTGGTGCCCTTTATTGATCTTGATGGGCGTTCGGGGGCTCAATCACTTGTTTGAAACAGTGAAATACAAAGTTTGTCACATTGTTATCTGCTATTAATAAATAGTTCCGTCCTCACCCACGACAGGACATGGAACGCCAACTTCGACCACCCATTAATCTCATCCATCCCCATCAACCTACCTCGATGTACTGTGCTCCACAAATCCTGCCACCTATGGCCGCTACGATGGAGTATGGAACAAGGATGGAGAATTTCATCATTCGTTAACTGGCACAGTCACCTTCTTGTGAGCCTCAAGAGCTACTTGAATTGAACCCAGGCCCCAGCTAACCACCCGGTCTGGGGCTACTTGTATTTGCCCTCCGCCAGCGCCCGGCGCAGAAAGTCCTCATAAATCCAGCTGCTCACTTCGTTGAGTCTGATATTAGCCGCCGAACCCGTTAGTGCCCACACCACTTTCTGCGCCCCGGCGAAACTGCGGCAAACCCCCATGGTCTCCTCTGATCCTATCGTGTCAAATGTACCGACAATTTGCCGTTCCTTGAATGTGTCTAGATCCTAGATTTTTGTGTGTATTCTTGTGTGAAGTGGCTGATTTCCCCTCTTTTTCTAGTTAATTGAAATGCTCAGCAAACAGATTGTGCTCAAGGCGCAGGCATCTGAAGGAGCATAATGAGTATCCCGGTGATAATTGCATGCAATCGACCAACATCACCTGTAAATACGGGAAAGGAAGATGTTATGAACTCGTAAGGGTGTGGTTTCGGACTTGAAGCTGAGTGCCAATGCATGTTATGATCGCCGATCGCGGCTGTATCGGACATGGAACTTGCCCGGTGGACTGTGGCATCGAGGAGGGGCCTGTCAGGAGAGCTTAGTGAGTCCTAACCAGATATTGTTCCCTCTTTTTTGCTCAGCAGGTTAGTATTCCGGTCTAACAGAGCTCATAGAGCTTAGTGGAGGATGTATCATTCGTTATCCTCTGCCGGACCACTTGTTTGTCCCATCCACGTATCTAATCTAATATGATGTTAAAAGGTATATAAAGAGAACACGTAGTTGGATATCATCTACGCTGTGCTATGGATTGCGTGAAAACGGGATATGCTGTACTCTGTATATATAAATAGCATAATGAATAAAATAGCATTGAAACCTACTCTTCTGGTTTGACCTCTTGGTCTGGGGCCAATACCCCTGAATTTGCTGCATCAGCAGTCGGTGGAACCGTATCCTCAGATCCTCCGTTTCCACCACCACCACCACCACCTTCAAGATCCACATGCCGCGTGCCGGGTTTATGAAAGGGGATCATAGATTGCAGCCTTCCTGATACGGAGATAAACCTTGTAATCGGCGTGGGTGCGGTGATATCATCGGTGAACGGTTCGCCTTGGATGTTACCCATGGCCCAAGCTGCTTTTTCACGGCGAAGGTCAGTTTGGACCCATGGGATGGTAATGATGGTCCATAGACCGGCCCATACGAAGGGGAGAGACCATCCGAGCTGGACGACTTTTGTCAGCATCCCTCTGCTTAGGGGAGTGGGGGTTTGTAACTTAGGGAGGAAGCCATACGGTATAGGCAACGTCTCGGGGTGTGGTAAAAATTAAGATGGTGGTGATGGTGGCCCAGATGATAGAACCGCCGCCCCAGAAACAGTTCATTTCGAAGAGCATTTGTCGAAAGTAGGGACTTGCTAGGTATCGATCGCGAAGCGCACGTCGGTACTTCTGCCCTCCGGCACCGTCAACAGCAACGATGTCTTCTATCAGGACGTATAACGCAGTGGGCATGACGTAGCCCTTTGGGGTGGAGGATATGCGAAACGGCGCCTGGTAGCCTCTTGCTCGGAGAAAATCAAGGGTAAGGTGAACAGCACCAAAGTAGTACATGACTGTTGGGAGAGGCATGGCGAGGAGTCGAACTGATGATATCGGAAGCCAGTTAGCACCTGACAGCTATGGCACTACTGCATCGGGACAAATGCTTACTATACGGTTCTTCTTGTACGGTGCCGCTAGATAAATAACAATGGGTCAACTCCGTTCATTTCGGCCAACATGGGGAAAACATTTTTTGTTTGGTATTCAACATACACTATCAATTCAACTGCCAGGATGAGCCATACCACGGTGAAATTGATTTGAAAGAAGTCGAGCTAGCAAAATATATTAGCTCTCTTCCTCCAGAGCATTGCACACACCTCTCTCTCTCCCCGAGCGTGGGAGCTGCATTACCCATGATCGGCGCGCATTCAAGGGCCTGACAACAGAGTCTTTCTTGAACAATGTCCAGAATCGATAAAAGTATTCCGCAACAGACACCCCTCCCAACGCAGCTGTACTGATGGTAAATACTAGCATGTCAAGCAGCATGGGTCAGCTAACCGTCCAATAGAAGACTTCAACCGCGGCCAACGAACCTAGATTATGGGACAAGTCCGTGCAATACCACAAGGTAAAATATAGAATCAACGGCTGGGCAAGCGTGTCGACAACAAACAGAGTCCAGAAGAAAGTAATGGATTTTTTGCGGTCCCTCAGGGAGTACGGCAGCTGGGGTGGAACTGGAACGGGAGGAACCATGGGTTTGCTATCGAAAACGAGTATATAATAGGGAAAGGGATTGTATCTCTATGTACAGGATATAGAGATCATACCTATTCACACAAATTGTCCCCCGAGTAGAAACCAAAAGAAGCGACTGTGGGATGGACGGAATGCTTCAGAGTATGTGGAAACGGGTTCAAGCGGGTCGCAATTGGAAGGGTAGCCAGATCTGGAAAAATTCAATGGTATGCAGCAGGTGACTGCAGACGTCTGCCGGCATTTTGGGCCCTATATGATGCGTGGTCCGGCGGGTGGCGAACGATGCTCAGCGCGGACGAGAATTGGGATGGTACTGTATTTCTTGCTTGCTTGCTGGATTTTCTCGGAAGCGCATTCCAGCGGTGATGTCACTCCAAAACGGCGGCCGATCGGCCAGCTGCTATTGGCTGAGAGTGCATGGAAGTTCGAGCTGGTTTTTCTCCTCTGATTGGCTTATTTTAAACTGTTTCCCATTGGCTTATTAATGTAGATACGCGCTAAACTTATTCTAGACTAGTACAATATTTCACGTGATACAGGCTTCGGGGCTGCGGGTGGCTTTTTTCGGTGGAGAACCGCCACACACCTGCAACCGCCGAAAAACGAAGAATCGTCAAAGTCGCAAGTTCGAATCGCGCCGTCTCCATCAGCAGCTCACCACATTAATGCCCCATCCAGGCTTGTTCCTCCGGAGTTAGTGGCATTTTGCATAGGCCAGCAAAGATGTTCCATTATGGCAAAGAGCTTCAGATCCGTCATCGAGTCTGTACTGGAAGAGATCTCCCTGTGTGGCGACCGCGGTAAGTCTTCTAAACGTTCGCCCTCCTGCATGGGCTGGAAATTTTCTTTTTCTTTTTTCTGCCCCCGTCAGGGGCTTTGCACCGAGCGGAGAACCGTTTTTCCTATTTCTCGCTTAATTCCTCGTGGTTCCAAGATATCGTCTGGGATCCAAACATAACTCAGTTTCCCAAGGTTGCTTTCTAGGCTTTTGCGCTGGCGCTGACGAAGAACTCCAGGTGCATCCCCAGCTGAAGTGCTGGGCTTTGTTGACGCAGTCTATGCTACACAAAGTTTGCATAACGGCACTGGACGTGGGACAGCACGTCCGCCAAAGGTTGACCATCAGCTGAAATGTTGTCTATGGGCGTGGTTGACACGGCATCCTGAGGTTTCAGTCGGAAAGAACGGAGAAGGAAATGGCTTCACCCTGGATCAAGTCCTGGCAAGCAACCCGTCACAGACACCCTTATCAGGAGAGATAGATCCATCTCTCATTTCTGAGAACACGGCCGGACCAAAGGAAGCCGCACAAGATGCATTCCGTGTCTTTGTTTCGCAAGAGCGCATGTGGCTCACGATCACGGGCCATAAGCCTGACAACTATCGCATTTTCCCTTTAGAGTTTACCCTTCTGTCCATCATCGCATCTCACAAGTCTCGAGGAGTAGTCCAAGGTGACCTCGTCAGGCTCAGCGGTCAAGATAAGCGTTCTGTGCCCAAACGGACCGATACGCTCCAGCAGAAGGGCTACATCGAGAAGAAGGCGATTCAATACAAGGGCGCAAGAACGAGCTTGTGCATTTTACGCAAGTATGCTGCCTCAGCGCCAGCAGAGATCTCCCAGTCGATCCGGCCCGAGAGTGAACGTGTTGGGAATCCCCAGTTCGACGAGATGATTGATTTCTCTGCCCTGCTGGACAAACTATTTGGGTGCTTGAGAGAGCACAGAGTGATCACGAGAAATGACCTGAAAGAAAAGCTGGGAATGACGGAGCTCTGGCGCTCGAAGGTTCTACGACGAGCCATCAGGAAGCTGGAAGCCATTGGATGCGTGCGACGTGTCCAAGCCCTTTCACAGTATTCCGAGGCGATGCGATCCTCGCACGCGTCCATCATGCTTATCCGTGAACCTACAGAGAAAGATATCCAACTATTTCATGAGGACAGCTCTGCTGTTATTGCGTCCCTCCAACAGGACGATGACCTGGACGAGGCCCAGGCGCAAACCGAGGCCATAGAGGATATGTCAGGGGCTGGTACCCTTCAGCCAAGCGATGCCAAACAAAGTATCGTCCGAGATGCTGGTCGCAGAATTCCCCAATGGACTCCGGATCAAAGTCTCCCAAATTTCATCTTCAGCCTAGTTGATAAGGCCGGGACAAGAGGAATGGACAATTTGGTACGTCCTCATCGCATACTCTAATTTTCCTCCTTTTGCAACATATGCTGAAATTTAGAAACAGGAAATCGCTGGAGAATCAATGGGCATATTCTTTAGGCGGCCAATTGAAGCTCTTTTGTCTCGCCTTGTCGATTCATGGCAATATTCACAACCTCTCCATCTACGACATCTGTCTTTGGTCCGCGATACGGCCCTTCGTGGCACCATTTCCTACTTTGTTCAGTACTCCGTCCGAAATTTCGCAGCACTCGTTGAAGATGGCCAAGCTTCTTGGGAGGCCGTCGAAACCCCCGTTAAGAAAGGTGCAACTCGTCCTCCTCCGATTGATGCAAAGCCTGAGCTCGATGCACATGGGTTTGTAATCACAAAGGAGCCCCCAAATCTCGTAAAGCAAGGAAATGCTACTCTCCGAGAGTGTTTAGAATCTGCCAAGCCCAACGACTATGTTGTTACGCACCGTGACCCGGCTGTGGTGTGTCTCCGTGACGGCACATTTGGTAAGTAACATTTTATAATACCCAGAACGTAAAGTATGCTAACTTGATGGAAAGGCGTTCGATTTGGAAGCCGATGGCGGTCACAAGACGCCACGAGAGCAATATCACGTAGTGTCTCAGCAGGACTACAAAGCGACATCAAAGACGGAATTAAACGTAAGACACCCGATGCCGGGCTTGGAGACTTGGAAGAGATGAGCAAGATTCCTGTGGTTAGCGATATGCATAAATCTAAGCGAAGAAAGAAAATGAACGATCTTGAACAGATGTCGGAGCTGGACCGACTCAAAGCCAAAGGCTACGACGAAAGCTGGACAGCATACAGTACTCTAACACTCGAAAGACCAGTTCCTGGTCTTTATTTAACGCCAGTTGGCAAAAGAAGGGCTTTTGGGATGAGGCAAGGCCGTCCAGCCCGGAGTCGCGTTGCAATTTTCAAATTACCAAGGCTGAACGAGTTCAGCTGGTTCGCCGATGAAACAACAGCTGGGGTCTCTGAAAACGAACCTGTGTCAATGCGACTGACACGGTCTTCTGGAGCTAAAGAGATTGCAGCGGCCGCCGCCCCGCGTTCTAGTAGCCGGCTAAGTGAGAGGTCGTCGGTGGATAGATCTATTGACAAGCTAAGAGATTCTATGGTAGATTCTCTTCCCGAGGAGCAAAACGGCCAACTTGTGGCCTCGACGGAGGCCACCCCTCGTGACGCGGATAGCGCTAGTGCCGTAACCGAGAGGTCTGCTAGAAAGCGAAAGCCGTCTAGCCTTGACGATATCAACCCCGCCCAGGCCCAAACAATGCCTGAGAAACCGCGGAGGGGTAGACCTCCCAAAAAGCGCCGTTTCACGCGTGACTCTAAGCCTCGTCAGATCGCACAAGATGTCTATGCTAGTCCTGATGCTTCCGCTTCGAGCGGGACGCAGAATATCACTGATATTAACGGTGAACTACAACAGCAACAAGGGTCACCGCCGAACGTTGAACCGAACTATGTACTGGAACGAAGCCAAAATGGGAAGGCAGATACTCTTGCTCAATCCCAGGACAGTTCTGGTGAAGTTGTAGATGAAAATCCGTTGGATTTAGAGTTGGCCGCTCAACAAAGCTCCACCTCGGTTCCGACCACCGCTACACAACGCAATAAGCCCAAAGAGCATGATGTTGACTTACCGGTTGTACCCCCTGGCACACTCCACGCACCAACTCAGGAAGAGCAATTCGAAGTAATACCGATGGAAATACATACAAGCGTACCTAGGGACGAGATTGGGGTCCCGACCGGATCTGGAAGCCAGGCAACTAAGGCTAACGGGGCACACGTCGATATGTCCATAGAGCCATTGGAAACGAAACCACTTCCTGTCCCTTCCAGCGTCGCTCCATCCGAGGCCAAAGACGAAACCTCAAAATCAAGTGTCAAGAAAGACTCCAGAGGAGGCTCCATTGCATTTCAGCGACGAAAGATTGTAATGGACATCATAGAACAGTGCGGAGGAGCTCACCCGCTAGGTACTGAGCTGTGGTATCCTTTCAGCACTGTCTGGCTCAAAACAAGAACAGAGAAGCCTGACATGCGCACAATCAGATCCGCCGTTAAATCGCTGGTTGACGCCGGAAAGCTTCGACAGCTCACTTTTAGTGGGAAGAACTCCAAAGGGCTTATGGTGACAAAGAGCCTAATCGCCAAGCCAGATATAGACTCGATGGATCCCATGATTCGGGACTTGCAGAGCGCCATGCTCAGCGCGGACCCTCAACTGTATCTACACCCCAAGGCCACCATTGATCCATCTCTGAAGAAGTCACACAAAGGCTTTGCCGGTCATGACTTAAAGCTACCTGAGGTCGAAAATGAAGTTCGGGTCACATTGAGTTATATTCCAGCCAAATTCCGCCCACGGCAACCCAAGCCGCGTACGCTTCGGTTCATTGAAGATGGCCGTTCATTCGGACGCGGGGATTTTGGAGCTGGTGAATGCTACAGAAGGGTTCGACGGCTCAAAAGTCTTCAAAAAATGCCGTCTACGAGTCCCTTCCTGGATTCTCTTTCGATCCCTGCACCGTATGCTCCAGCAATCGCCAGGCCTCCTGTTCTCAGGCCCTGGCCTCTTGACGAAGGTTACGCTGGTATGGTATTTGGCGCAAACTGGAAACCTAGCCTACTTTTGATGCTCATGTCACCAGCTCAGACATTCAATGCAGCGACCGGGACATTTGGAACCGGAGTGTGCTACATGACCCGGCGGAGGCGTAGCTATAGGAAAAAAGCGGTAATGCCGAAACTAGAATCTCTACCGAATGGGTTGAATGATATCTTATCTACATCGAGGAAACGCAGCGTAGACTTATCTAACGTTGCAGATCCAGCTTCAACCGGCTTCTTCTCCGATATAGATACCGTTAGGGACTGGGAACTAAGGAATGAATTTCCTGATGGCCCACCGGATGAGATGTTGAGGTACATTGACCATGCAATTCCTGGACCCTTCGAAAGCGCCCCATTAGAAGGCCCAATTCGTTTCGAGATTGATCAGCCCCCTCCTCAACAGCGAAAGCCCATGGAGCCACCGGTAACTCGACTGGCAACATCTCGCGCTATCATGGAAGCATTTCCCGCTCGGTATAAACCGTTAGCCTTAGGTTGGATGCCTCAAAAGGGCTCTGTTCAGCCACAGAGAGCAGATGCTCAATCTGGTAGACGTCTCACGCAGCTTCAGGAAACCACGAAGGCCGCGCAAGGAGCGGTAAAATCCGTGGATCGCATATTCAAGCGCGTTCGATATGCGAAAGATTTCCCTCAGCGGATCGCTCAAAAGCTCACTGTCGCGATAGTGGTTGTACGCACCTTGGCAGGAGGTTTAGAGGGCAAATTGATCGACTGGCCGTTAGTCACGTCTGTTTTCCCCGACTATGATTCGAAATTCATCCAAGATCGTGGTAAAAGTATAGTATCGCGGCATAGGCTGCAGATGGCTAAGATGCAGCGGGATTTTCAAGAGCGTTACATTGAAGCCTACGAAAATGACCTTGTGCCGAGCATTGACTACAACAATTTGCAAGAGTACGATTGGGAATCGGTGGTTAACTGGGCAGAGGAACAGCTTGAAAGGCCTAGTCTCCAGAAGGTTCCAAGCCTTCCAGCGACTCACGAACAGTTCGTCAGCATCTTCGACGTTCGAACAGAGCAGATGCTTGATATTGACGAGCTGTACCAGCACAATGCGCAAACTACGATTCCACGGAAACGGACACTATATGCCAACGTACCGTTTTCAGTTCCTCTTGGTCAAAAGCGCCGAAATACTGTTTCTACTCTAGGCGACAATAACAAAGCCGAGTCGATAAGACGCCTGGAAGTTGCAAAAACCTGGGTTCGCGCCAACGTAATCACGACAGAAGAAACATACCGGCCCACTGAGGCTCGGCAAATTCTCGAGCGCTTTGGTGAAGAGCTCATTGGGGAGGCAATACAATCCCTGATCACGGAGCGCGTTATATCCATGAGTAATCGTGGAAAGGTCACCCCAGGCCGGAACTACGATGTCACTGAGCATTTTCTGCATGCATTTGGCCGCAAACGAGCGGTTGAGGCGGTGCAGTTGAGACGAGCGCTACATTTCAAGCTCACCATTTTGGACCCTGCGATTCAATCAGAGGGAAAATACAAACTAGAATATGGGGCAGACGACGGTGACATTCTGGTCATGATCAACCTGGCAACACAGGGACGCGTTACGATCCGGCCGCTAAACCCGCCACGAAACAAATACGGGCTCACGGAGCGTGGGTATCTCACTCGAATGATGGATAAGACGAAGTTGCGCTTTGACGTGGAGATTCATCCGGTCCCCGATAGATACATTTATGGCAATCCGTTGGCGGAAAAGATCGACCAGACACCAGTACCCAATACGGATATAACCGTGAGCGAGTTCGGTACCTCGTCGACTCTTCCCAAGGTTCCGCTCTGGGTAGATGTACACGGACAATTTTCAAAGCTACTGTGGGAGCTCGCGGTTGGGGCTGTTGTGGGACTATTGGCCGCTATCCCAGGGGCTGGAGCAGATACTATCGGGCGAATCATGCAGCCATATCTTGGGACATGGGAGGTAGAGTTGGTCCTGCAGTGGCTATATGTTGTGGGAGCTGTTCGGCATGTGAGAGAAGATGGCATGGAAGATGATGCCAAAGCTAAGGGAGGCTGGACAGTGAAGGAGTGGTGGTATCTTGCTCTTGGTTCGTGATTGTATCAACATAGGTGTTCTACATGGACTTGTATTTTATATAACATAAAAATGGTGTCTTATAACTCTATCTGTCTTTCAGAGAATTCAAGCTGGAATTCAATAACAAGCTACCCATATGAGTGCTTACAGCTCGCATAAAGAGAGGATGGGGTGAGTCTCACCACATGAGGATTCACAGCAGGGCTTTCTGACTCTAGAGTGAATGAAATCCCACCTTCGAGTGACGGGAAAGTGAGCACGCTAACCCTTGGCCCACGTGATATCGCCCCCTATATAAACCCCGAACCTCCTCGCCGCCACATCCCCTTCTCTTCTTCTCCTCCTCACATCAATCAGCTATTCATAAATATGATTTATTATGGTCTCTTAACAAATTTACTACCACTGACCAGGCCTTCTAGCTCAGCTTTTGCATACGTGAAGCCTCAAAATGCTTGTGTCCTTCATAGCCACCGACCACTCCCCTCACATGTGCAGAGTAGCCTCAAAGAATATAAACGAGGTGCTGGAAGCGCTGACAGTTTCTCCGTCCGGAGTGACTGTATTCTATGGCTAGGAAGAGCCCCTAAATATCCATTGGCTCCCTTATCCATACAAAATGGCTTTGTTCTTTTTGTGTTTGATCACCCCCTCCGGCTCCCCACTCGCTAAACAGAGCTTGATGGGCCCAGGCGGGTGATCCAAGGATCCCTTACACTCACTGCTGAAAGAAAGGGAGACTGCACAAAGATTCTGTTTGGCATGGACTTACAACTTGAAGAATGGTGGGATTTAGAAGTTGAGTGTGGCCTCTCCCGCTCCAGGGGATTTTCAGAGGTGCCTCACTCATTGGCGTTCCTTCCTGGCCTGCCACTCCACACAGCGGCCCAACCCTCGTCCACCCGTGAAAGGGTTTGGTGTCGCGAGCCTATCCAAAGGCCTGTGCTTGCTGGCCTGGAATTCGTGCCCAACTCCGCGAGGGTATCCTCGTGACTAGAGCCGGGGCAGGACCTCCTCCAGGGCAAGAATGTGGATCAACATTGCTAGGAGGTTCATGGCACGCATAAATATTAACAACGGACATGGTATCGAAATTATCATAGCGCCAGAGACTGCCACAACTGAGCAATTGCTTTGTCTGTCGGGACAACTACGGATGGCTATTCACCATGTATCATAGCATCGGCCAGCAGCTGATGCATCAAGACCCTGCCTATTATCTTTGGTAGGTGCTGACAAGACCAAAGCATTGGCTCCTCAGGATTCCTCCTAGTTGAGTCTGGCTCAACTGCCCATTAAAATTGTTAATTTTTTTCCTAATTTTGGCGCGGGTTATGACAGGGTGCACAAGGTCAGCACCAAAAGATTGACTACAAACGTTATTACACTTTTCTCACAAAATCTTCAAGAGTCAATCAGAAGAGAAAGCAGGACAGCTTTATATATGTCCCTCTGTGTTCATACGTCAATTAAGATATTAAACTAAACTACTTTGCACCTAGACTTGATTATCGGCCGTTGTATCAATACCAAAATGTCCTGAATTTTGAAAGCTTCAATATTTATCAAATTCTACATGCAATGTGACTGTTTCAGTGAGCCTCCACTCCGCAGTTTATATCAATCGGGATCTGGTTAAAAGCCATAACACGTTGACACGCAATTCAACTTTCGATTTCCACGCGCAATTGACCCGCGCCAGACGAGAAGTCCCTCTTCACAACCAAAAAAACCTGCATTGTCAGAATTGAAGACTTTGCTCATAAGTCCCTCGCTATTGGGCCGGGAGTGGATTACCTCCTTTGAATGAACTAGGGGGGCTTTGAACCCCTCCAAAATGCAGTCCTACTAACAAGTCAGTTTAAGGGTGTCCCAGGGAAACAAACGGCTCTTTTGGCTAAGGCCACCAAAGGACATCTTCATGCTCTCGGAACCCCAAGACTCGTTCAAGTCCGGCGTGGAACTTGGAGGGGCGGTTGGCAAGGTTTCAGACCCCTCTGCTGGATGACGCCGCTGTGGCCGGAAAATTCTCAGCACAAACTACCGGAATAGGTGTGCGATTTTGGCGCAGACCCCGCCTTTTACACTGGGGCGCTAAGGAATAATATGGGCATAATGTTAAATAGGAGATCTCGATGGCGATCGCATAAGCTCAATGGATGCGGCAGGTGGGCTTAAATTACATCGTCTATTTTAATCGTACAACTATGATAAGTGCTCTCTATAATACCAGGTGTAGCTCCGTCAGGCCTCCCACTCCCGCTAAAGCCTCCGTCATCCACCTTTGTTCTCTCCCAGAAAAACCTATTTTGCGGCTCCGGCCAACGAACCCATCCACTCGTTACTACCTTTGTCGCTCTCCTTCTGATTCATGGGGCGCCTGATGTCTCTCCTCTCCGCCGAAGCCAATGACTTTGTTGCTTCCCTCGCTTCGTCTAACCGTTTGACACTCTCCTCCCGACCGAGGATTTCCATGGTCGATGGTATACCTATCCCGGGAGTGCCGCCCGACAAGGCCCATCGTAGATAGTGATATAGCTCTTTTCTAAAAAGCTGCTGTGATGTCTTTTGCTCTTTAGGTCCGAGTTCAGGGGAGGGATCGGTGTACATATATGCCTCGATGTTGGCACGGTGTGTCTCTGAGTTCCAGTGCGATGCAGGAACCATGGAGAGGGCAGCTGCAGCAGTGTGAAGGGCTGAAACGGGGATCTTTGTTGATTCATCCCCGCTGGAAGTGGTGGTGGCGGGAGTATAAGCTGGCCTATCGATAGTTTGAGTGAAGAATGATTTATTGACGTTGATGAATTCGGTTGGATTTGTATATGAGCGAGGGCCCTCGCGTAAAATCGAAGAAACATATTCTTTGAGATTCCGGGATTTCAGGATAGGAGAACTATTGCGTACGTGTTAGTGGCATGGTAAACATTCGAGACTTTGAGACTGACTATTGCTCGGGAGTATATACTGATTCGGCAGCATTTGACACGAGCCGAACCAACTCATCAAACTTCGGTCCGCCCGTCGCTGCATACCGCTGGGCATGGGATTTTTGCAAGAACCAGAGCTTCTCAAAAGCTACAGTCGTATTGCCCTTAGTGAGTTTCAAATCGAACTGTTCTAGCATTAGTAGTGCTAAGAGCAGAGAACGGATAAGGGGAAATGCATACGATCTCTTCTAGCTCCTTCAAACTAAACACATCTGATTTCCGTAGGTGGGACCAGCCTAGTAACGCAGCAAAATTGACCAACGTGTCCGGCATCACCGCTTGTTTATCCCTGAAATGCGCGATATCTATGTCTGCGTTGCGTTTGCTGAGCTTTTGGCCGTTCTTTTCAACGAGGAGCGGGACATGGCCGAACTTGGGTGGTTGCCATTGGAAGGCATTGTATAAAGCTACATGCATCGGAGTTGAGGACATCCATTCCTGCGATTTTTGTTAGTGATAAGTTCGCTTGGAGAGTGAATCAACCACCATACCGTGCCCCGAATAACGTGAGTAATCTTCATAAAATGGTCGTCCACAACGTTTGCAAGATGGTACGTGGGATATCCGTCAGACTTCAGCAGGATAGGATCAACGAACGTGTCCACAAGTTCAGCTTTTTTGCCACCATTCCTTGCGCGGTTCTGTCCGGTTTTGCCGTATACTATGTCTTCAAACATGGGATAGGACTCTGCAACTCGCAATCGAACGACATGGGCTTCCCCATTTGCAGCCCGTTCCTCTGATTCTTCTTTTGATATATCAATGCAAGCGCCATCGTATCCAGGGGCGAGGCCGAGATCATGTCGATGTCTCGCGAGTCTGTCAAGGCGCTCTGACGAGCAAAAGCACCGATATGCATGGCCTGTGGAAATGAGGTTTTCCGCCTGGGATTTGTACAATGCCGTCCGTTCAGACTGCGGGAATCCAAGTCAATGTCAGTCGTAGAGTACAACTGGCGTCATGGCTGGCGGTGATTGCCTACCTGTCTATAAGGGCCATACGGTCCACCTACAACGGGTCCTAGGGATGGGTGTAAGCTCCTCCGTAGATTGAAGTAGGGACCCAAGTCCTGTCACAAAACTATACCTTCGTCCCACTGGAGACCGGCCCATTGTAGATCTTCATACAGCCTCTGCTCTGCGCCAGGAATTGTCCTTTTCTTCGCCAATCAGTACCATGTCCAAGCTCCAAACTAGCCGAAAGCGCAACACCGACCTGATCTGTGTCTTCAATGCGTAGAAGGAATTGTCCGCCGGTCCGCTTTGCGAGAAGGTAGTTAAATAACGCCGTTCTCAGGGATCCGAGATGGAGATATCCGGTCGGAGACGGGGCGAAACGAGTGCGTGCCGGAGAGTCAGGAAGGCGAGACTTGGTTTTCTTTGCTGCGCACGAGGTTGTCGAAGAGAAATTAGCCCTACATGATTTGCAAACCCATGGACTCCGGGCAAAGAACCGAGAGGCGGAAGGCCGCATTGTCGCGGCTTTGGTTGGGTGAGGGGATGTGCAGTTGGAGAGCAATGAAGGCAAAAAAAAAAAAAATTCACAGCTGTGTTTCGTCTGATCTCATCAATGTTCACCGCCCACTCCCCATTCTAACAACCATTCCTCGTTTCCCTTTCTCGTCTGTGAGTAGCGGCAGTTGGTGCGGCGGAAGTGTTTGAAGCTAGAAAGCTCTTACGCCGAGACTGAAATATTCATAATAAATATTAAATTTGTTTGTTTGAACAGAAGGCTCCTCCAACCCTCCCGCCTCCGCTCCTCGCCGTCCCTCCGCATTCTCTTTCACGGTTATCCTCCGTCCCTCCTTAAGACAGAGATAGATTTACTACTTCTCTACTTGAGATACCCGCTTTTCATCTATAAATTTGCTTCCTTGTGTATCCAAAATATCTGTGAAATCCGAAAATTTTCAGCAGTAAGCTTTCGCCGATCCCCGCTGCGGTGAAGAGAGCCAAAGACATGTCGGAGTCTCTTTCTCTTGGAGGACCAAGCAGCTGTTGGAAACTTATTATATTAATTAATGTGCAGTGAATTCCGGGGTCGAGGAGATCGACCTCTACGGTACTTATTCCCTAACCTTTGTACAGGAGTGAGCGCCACTGACTATGCTTTCAGAGGTTCTAAGTATTGAGAGAACTGCGACAAAAGAAGAGATCCGAAAGGCCTATAGAAAGGTATATACCACCTGGAAATCCCGGTTTTGTATGTATATTTCACATATTAACCCCTTTCGCGTTGTCTTAGGCTGCCCTCGCTAGTCACCCAGACAAGGTCCCAGAGTCCGAACGTGAAGCCGCAGAGGTCAAGTTCAAGTCCGTTAGCCAGGCATATGACATTCTCCATGACGATGAGAAACGACATATCTACGATACCCACGGCATGTCGGCGTTTGACGGGTCGGGTCGTCCCGGCATGGGAGGTCCCGATCTCGACGATATAATTAACTCTATGTTCGGCATGGGAATGGGAGGAGGAATGCCTGGTTATGGTCCGGGAGCCCCAAAGCCCAAGAAGGGTCCAAACGAAGAGCAGACGTATACCGTAAGCCTGGAAGATCTATACAAAGGCCGAACTGTCAAGTTTGCCAGTACCAAAAACGTTATCTGCAGCCTTTGCAAGGGTAGGGGTGGAAAGGAGAGGGCTACTCCAAAAACATGTTCAGCATGTGATGGACAAGGTGAGCGTTTTGAGGATTAGGCTGTTTTTCTCGCTAATGTTGCGAAACAGGCCACAAGGAGACCCTCGTGCAGATTGGCCCCGGCCTCGTCACTCGCGCCACGGCGGAGTGTAAAGTGTGCGAAGGCTCCGGAAAATTTTTTCAGGCAAAGGACAAGTGCAAGAAATGCAAAGGCAAAAGAGTTACTGAAGAACGGAAATTGCTGGAAATTTATATTCCTCGAGGCGCCAAGTACGTACAATCACCGTGGGTGTAGGACTATCGTCGGCTAACAAAGCTCTGTAGGCAAGGGGATAGGATCGTTTTAGAAGGCGAAGGAGACCAGATTCCTGACGTTGAACCAGGTGATATTATCTTTCAGTTGGAAGAGGCAGAGCACGACGTGTTCAAGCGCGCCGGTGGTGACCTTCACGCCGTTCTTCATATCACACTAGCCGAAGCTCTCTGCGGGTTTTCAAGAGTCGTATTAAAGCATCTGGACGGAAGAGGCATAGAGCTGACCCACCCAAAGAAGCCTGGCGATGTTTTGCGACCAGGACAGGTTCTCAAGATCGCAGGCGAGGGCATGCCATATAAACGAAGCGAAGCCCGCGGCGACCTTTATTTGACTATTGAGATTAAGTTCCCGGAAGACGGATGGGCGTCGGATCAGACCCTTCTTAACAAGCTACGGGATATTCTCCCAGGTCCAGAGCCGCCAATTGAAGCGGAGCCCGTTGATGAAGTTGACTACGATCCAAAGGCGAACTTGGACGACTTCGGGGCGAAAGATGCCCAAGGTGGATCGGCCTGGGAAGACGAAGACGAAGAAGAAGGTGGACCTCAATGTGCAGCACAGTAAAAATTCGGAAAAATAAAGTTCGAGAACGGGGAAATACCACTACGAGAGTCCGATCTCGTATCTTTTTGCCAGTTCATTTTCATTCCCATTATGGTTATGGTCATGAAATGCGATTACTCCGATAAAGGAATAAGGATAACTTAGCATGCTTAGGCGTTAGGAAGGGGATTTAAAATCTGATTGTATTGGGATTTTGGCGTGGTATCACCCCAGCTCCCATCTACATCTTGATCGGAAGAAAGAAAATTAGAGGCCATTTTTGACCGTCTCAAATCAAAGTAGCAATGAAATAATTTTGCGAAGCTGAACCCAATCCTCAATCATTTGAATCCTCTAGTATTAGGCAAGGCGCATCTGGAGAAGCAAGGTAGGCGTAAGGACCAACTTGTTTCCTGAGCCCTACCTCGGCCCCCCCCCAAACAAAATTGGAGCTTGAACCAGTAGAGTGCTCTCAACGTCTTAATAGAAAGGACAACGTTGTAGGGCGGAATAATACCGCACTTCATTGTGATGATGGTGAGGGCGGCGGGCCTTGAAATCCTATAGAAGGCTCATACCAGGTCGATCCCTGGTCGACTGCCAATCGGTTTGGCACCGCAAGGTCTGCTGCGATTTGGCGACACCAGCGAAAAACCGGTTATCCAGAGAGAAGGAGGGCGTATATTGGTCGATTGAGTACCATAATCCCTTTAAAAGTTGCAAATAACAGCCCCCTTTGAGCCATATAATGTGGATATGCGTTGGCCTTATCAGAGTTTTGACCCCGGGTTGTTCTTCAGAGCCAGTCTCTCCAAGCCCTTTCGAATAGCTGGGACCATTCCATCACTCGTAGGCTTCATAGTAACCTTATCAACAAAAACGTGTGTGAACCCACCAACCACCTTGACTGGCTCCTCTCCTTTCCGAAACACACCGACCTCATACGTCACGCTGGACTTCCCCAGCTTGGTCACTCGCAAACCTAGTTCCAGTACGTCCGGGAATGACACGGAGGCAAAGAAGTCGCAAAAAGACGAAACGACAAGACCAATCTGAGGTGGACGTTGGAGGTTCCCCTGTCTGGCTAACTGTTCATCTGGTGACTGCTCTGAAGAAGACCGCGAAGAGAAGGGATTCAGGCCACAATTTTCTATTAAATACGTGTTGATGATGGAGTCGAAGAGGAAAGCATATATACTGTTGTTCATATGGCCGTACATATCATTATCCGACCTATGTATAGACATGCCGCCATCAGCGCTATCCTGGTAAATCAGGGGGGACGGACTGATAATCAACCCACCAGCGCGTTCGGTACTCCAGCTGATATGTATAATCATTTCTCGTTCTTCGTTTCTTCTGTTCTAGTTCCGAGAGAGCCATTTTTCCGGATAGTTGGGCTCTAGAGACCCCGATAACCTAGATTCACAGATTCCACACCCCCCAGACGCGGGAATCGGCTTTGAAGATGTTTGCTGTTCTTTCTTCCGTCCAAAGCGCTTCATTGACGCTGCTCTTTGGAGCGCGATGCGGGCCGAGGTTGATACGCGACCAATTAGAGTGCTAGTGATCATCAGATAAGATCAGGGTCACGTGATAGGTGTCCCGCGTTTTTTTACGCGTTTTGAATTTTCGAAAGCTGAAAGACGGCGCGAGCTGGAGGGCGAGCTGCGGTGTCTGCGGTCTTCCTGCGCTTTCAGTGGGCGTTCGGTTTCTTTTCCACAGCGTCTGCAATCTGTTTGCTCGTTTATATATCCAAATTTTTTCGGGAAATTCCCTTTTTTCCCCCCTTTTCCACGTTTCAGCCGTTGTTTAACTCCTTACAACTGGCGCCATCTCCCCGCATTCTCGCTTATTTGACCAAGCGAGGTCGCCATCCTTCTCCAACTTTGGCTTTAACAGTCATGGAGGAATCGTCGAAGCCTATCGCAAAGCCTGAAGTTGCTGAACCTCCTCCCGACGTTGTCGTAACTCCGTGCGATCCGTGGCCGAGGCCCTATTACTTCGAGAAAGGGTTCCGCCGAGTTGCGCCCTATCATTATACATACAATACCTACTGTAAAGAGAGATGGAGAGGGCGGGGCTTATTGGATATATTTACTACGGAATTCAGAGACAGGCCGGCGGAGTACTATGTGAGCAAGCGCTGATTTGCTGTCCTGAAATTTGGGCATGGCCGTTAGCTGACAGAAATATAGAGAGCGGCGATTGAATCTGGCCATGTGACAATCAACGGAAAACCAGGCGGTGTTGATTCAAAGGTGAAAAATGGCGATGTAGTCTCACACACCCTTCATCGCCACGAGCCACCAGTTACCAGTCTCCCCATCGGGGTTATCCACGAAGACGACGAGATGATTGTTATCGACAAGCCCGCCGGTGTTCCCGTTCATCCCGCCGGACGATATAATTACAACTCCATTATTGAAATCATGCGCGCGGAAAGAGGCCACGGTTTCAATCCTCTACCATGCAACCGCCTCGACAGACTGACTTCGGGTGTGATGTTTATCGGCAAGGATCCCAAAGCCGCTGAGAGAATTAGCCATGGCCTCCGGGCACGAACAATGCAGAAAGAATATATCGCCCGTGTAAAGGGGAAATTTCCGGATGGAATCATCCTTTGCGACCAGCCAATGCTCAAGATCAGCCATCAGCTAGGTCTGAATCGAGTGCGAGCCTCAGGCAAAGAAGCAAAAAGCAAATTTCGGAGACTGGCATACTATCCAGCAACGGCAGTGAAGAAGGCCTCTTCCTCTGAAGATGACCCTGCTACTCCACCCGCAACACTGGCGGACGATGTGCCATTGGACTTTGGCAATAATGGCAAAGCCACGATATCACCACCTGAAGACGAAGGTTACAGTATCGTCCACTGCTTGCCTCTCACAGGACGAACCCATCAACTACGTGTTCACCTACAATTCCTCGGGCATCCTATCACCAACGATCCCATTTACTCCAACCGACGCGTGTTTGGCCGTAACCTCGGAAAGGCCGACAACACGGGAGAACACGACCAGGAGATAATGGCCCGCCTATCTAGGATGGGGAAGACAGAGACCGCTGATACTGTTGGCGACTTTGGATTTAAATACGAGACATTCCAAAACCCGCCTCCAGAACACATGACCAAAGGCGGCGATCCCAACGTCATCAATGACCTGCTTGCCCGCGAGCATGACCAAATGGTTAACGATTACCTAAGACGTAAAGGAGAGAAGATGAGCGGCAAGAAATGCGAGACCTGCGGAACTGATTTGTACACTGATCCTGGTGTGCATGAGCTTGGAATCTTCCTTCACGCAGTGTCTTATGCGGACCTTGCTGGGGATTGGAAATACAGAAGTAAAATGCCCAATTGGGCTATGCCCCCGGAGGGCGTGGATGGGCCCACCAGCGTTCCTGAATGGACGGAGGAAGGAGAAGATATCATTATTGGTGGTGGCCGGGCTGATGGTGATGCTGCGCTCGTGGAGGGAATAGGAACTTTGAGCATCTCGGAGATGATGTGCAGGGATAAATCCGAGAGTGGAAATATTGCTGCAGGAGCGGGGGGTTGATTGCTACGATTGAGTTTACGTTTGATTTCCTGTTTATGGCTTTTGGTGCATGGTCTATTAAAGGTGAAGCGAGTTCTATGACTTGGGTTATTTTCAATACCAATTAGATCCCGGAATAGACAAAAGGTTTATTGATGCGAACTGAAATTGACGCAGATACAGGCTCTCGCCATGAGTAACTACTAGTCAATCCTGTATCGCAATGAGCTTTTAAACGGGGTCAGATGACATCAAAGGTTTGTGTTGAAATGGCATTCGTCTTAATCACCTGTATCTCAGTTGAATCGTCTCATACGCCAGTATTCCCTACACCATGGCAAGAGGCAAAATGGCTTCCTTTCCTTCTTCCATTCGGCTCCAGCATGGACTAATCACCATGTCCTAGACAGGCCGTAGATGAAGTCATAACGAGCAAAATATTTCCATTATATTTTCCCACTCGTTAATTTGAAAAAAAAGGAGGTGCAGAAAGTAGAAGTATATCTATCTCTCCTTCGTATCATATGCCGGCCGCTTTATTCTTGTCCCAGTAATGAAGAACATGGAGGAAAAGGGTGACGAAAAAGAGCCATAAAAACACACACCCAACCACGCACCGACCCCAGCAAAAAAGAAACACGACGGACTGCGCTTATGACTCCGTGGTGACTCTGCCCTTGGGATTGGTGATCTTGACGCCTAATTGTTTGGCCTTGGCGATGATGTCGACGCGCTTGGAAGAAGAAACGGCGTGGGCGATCCTAGAAAGAGAGAGTTGAGTTAGGAATGAACTCGGCCGCGTCGCAGGGGGGTGGAATAATTGACGTACTCAGCGGCATAGGTGCGGTTGTGCATGAGGAGAAGCTCGACATCCTTGGGGTTCTTGACAAGGAAGACCTTGTGGCCAGAGGGGATCATGTGTCTTGTCTTCTTGTTGCTGCCATAACCGATCTATTGGAGTAAGAAATTGCTTATTAGCGATGGATACTTCGGAGAAAACACTCGATCGGCTCATTGATGCTCAGGCGAATTCTCCCCCCCGAATTTCCCCTTCCCCCTCCGGGGAATCTAAAGACACTCGACGAACAGAATACCTCGTGCGCTTCAAATTGTAGGGAAATCGCCCGAGATCCTTTCGCGCAACGCAGAAATTCGCACATACCTTGGGCATAGCAGCCTGGCCCTTGAACCGTCTGCGAACGCGGTTGTCGATACCCTTTGGTTTACGCCATGAAGTCGGGACACATTTGAACATGTCCGACTGGTGTCGGTTGAAGCGCTTCGGGTCTGTACTCGCAAGAAAAAAAAATTCCGATATCAGCCTCATGTTCCTCAATCAAAATATCCGCTCATTTCCCCAGCCAAAAGCCATCTTCCACGTATGACATCGTCCCAACTTCCAAATTTTTTGATAGATAATAGCATAGCAAATCGTGCCGTAGCGAAATCGCGGACTGGATGTTCATAGTTTTCAAGGGAGAAGGAGGGCCAACGTACGCTTCTTCACGATAGCAACATGCTTCTTTGCGGCGACCATCTGCAGTGGAAAAGCACGGTCAGCGTCACAGATACCACTCAGGGACAGAATCGAGCAGCAAGAGCATACCTTGGCGGTGTTATGGGGTCCCGAAGCTGGTCGTGGAGGTTGTCGGCTGGGAGATGTTTATCGAGGTCGGGCTTTAACTGCGAATTCCTCCTGCGCAACCAGCTTGGAGTGGTGCTGAGCGGCGCTAGTGGGTCGCTAAGCGAACTGGGAAACCTTAGGGTTTGGTGCTGCAGAAGCCCTGATTGCCTGTTTCGGGCGGGTTACTTAGTCATCATACCCTGCGCTTGGCATCCCGCCCCGCTCCTAAAGGTCCTTGTTCCGCCCGCTTTGTCCGCCCCTGTCGAAGCTTGCGCCGCTCGTCACCACAGCGGCTACGCACAGTGAATGTCATCATCATAAGACCAGGACATCATAGACAATAAACACCAACTATCCCCTACATTGCGTGCTCTGTCATCAACCCTTGGCTCGCATTGGACCTGAAAACATCAGGCAGGGCAAGTTCACGCAAGGAGAAGCTTCGAATCTCTCGGAGATAATAATACCTTTGATATGAAGGATGAATTCATAACGTCATTCATTCAAAACATTACTCGTCTGCTCATGTTAACATAAACACAAAGAGGTATCAACCCAAAAGACGACAAGCAACGCCAAACACCCCTGGCATGCCACCACAATTACCGTCCACCAACCATTCCTCTTACCCTCTCTACTCTCGCGACCGCCTTTTCCAGTCGATCTAGTCTCCTCCTCTTCTCTCCATCTCTCCGCTCCAGCAACTCTACCCGCTCCTCCAATTTCGCCCGTGCCTTCCGCTCCTGCGCAACCATCTCGTTCGCCTGGCTGAACAGCTGCGTTGTGAGATCCTCCAGTTCAGAATTGGCTTGCGTGAGACGCGACTCCGCCGCTTTTCTGAGTTCCGTTTCGCGCTGCAGGGCGTCTTGGAGGGATGCGGTGAGAGTGGAATCGGCCGTTCGGGGAGGTGATGTTATAGTGCTTTCGGGCGAAGAGGTAGTCTGGCTGAGTGGAGCACCGTTCGCGCTGGAATTATTACGTTTGCCGTAGGGCAAGAAGGACGTGAGGGTCGCGAAACGGGTGTGTTGCGGCTGCTGCAGCCGCGGTTGTGGTGGGGATGGAGAGGTCGAGAAGGCCAGCTGTGAGGGTGGGGTGAAGGTGGGTGTGCGAGGGGGGACAGATGCTGATGCCGATGCCGATGCCGATTGGGAGCGGAGAATGCGGATTTCATCTTCGTAGTCTGCTAGTTTCTCCGCTGTTGAACGAAGAGGAAAAGATTAGCACCACGCTTCCTAGATCCGGTTCAACTTTCTTCAAGGAGTAGATAATGATATCCAATATTTTTAGACATTGCAAAGTTGGATCAACCCTTGTAGGCAAAGGAAATGATACAAGCGTACCTGTTGCTGCTGCACGTTGGTTGAGAAACTTTATCTGAGTCTCCAGCTCTGTTATCCTCTGCTGCGCTGCCTTCGCATCGTCCTGGAGCAGAGGGGCTCCATCGAACCCGCATCGTGGACAGGACGGTGGAGCGGTCGAGAAGACCGGATCGGCGACGGACATGAAAAATGCTTTTGCGAAACGGGAAGGGATCGATTTGCGATCTTCGGCCTGTGTTGTCGTCGTCGTCGTCGTAATTGTTGTCATGGGCGTTTTGTTTGCGGGAACCAAACCACTCAGGGGGTTGGGCGGCGGCTGCCGGGCAAAAGAAATAAATATCCACAAGAGAACTTCTTACGTTGAGCTCCCAGATGACAATGAAGCTGTTTGAAAGAGTTTAAATAAATATCCGAATAAAGAGGCTGGTTGGCTGGCAACTGTCAATACCCAGATCACAAGCATGGGACTAAACAAACAATTCTCCCGGCCATGCAAAGCCAACCGCCCAGCCGCCGGAATCTCTTCTTCGGATCCGGCTTGGGGCGTTTCAGCCTCAGCCTTCGACGGCTTCGTGTCCATGCGACCGTTCAGGGCAGACATGCCAACTCAAGTCCGAGCCAACGTTCGCCCTGTCGTCTTCCATCACGTCGCCAACGAGCTGTCCGATCCGTGCGCTCTCATTCGGTACCCCTCAAAGCACCAAATGAGGCTGTGAGCACATGGCGAAAAGTCAAATGTATTTACACGAATATATCCAGGCCTATCAGAGGATCTCTGATGGCATCGAGCTCAGCCCGCCTCCTGTCGCCCACAGAACTAAAAATGCATCGGGGTAGCCACTGGTTATTCCCTTTCGTTCGATTCAAAGGACAGGTTTTCATTTGAACCTTCCATCCAGACGAACCAAAATGCGTCTGTACCACGAGGACAGGAACTCTGCGCTAGCATGTGAATCACTTTGCAGCGATGAGAGCTATCAAACACCGCATTCAATTCAACACGGATGCGGATTTCTTTTTTTTTTTTTTTTTTCCCTTCCTTTTTGCTGATAATCTGTTGTCAAAGCACCCTACAAATATGAAAGGCTTGAGGGAGCGATGCTAATGCCCCATCTACGGGCCCAGCTACGGGATCTTCCTACGACTGTCGACTTAGTTGACCTAGGCCATGCTGTCGAGCAGCAATTCCGAATTGACTCCGTCTTTTTTTGGCCACGCCCATCTTGAACTCTACGGAGACCTATGCGTTAAGAGATCTCTCGTATAATGAGCCAGATTTTCAAGTTATATACATCTGTGCGGCTGCATACACTTCCACTCGAACAGCTGAAAGAGCGCCAATCCCAATTCCGTTTCCATAACTGCCCCGCTGGTTCGATTTCGTTTGGCTATGCCGAATGCGAGATATCAAAGCCATGATGGGCAGGCAAGCGCAGCTGAAGCTCACGAAAAGAGTTCCAAGCATGGATGCGACTTCAAGAGAGGTTGACTCCAACTCCTTGTATGTACTGTACGTCGGAACTTTGATATTGAAGATAGTCAAAAGCGGTTTTTCGAGCCTAGTTACATATTTAGCAAGGTCACACATACATGCGTTGCACATCCCAACTCGCCATTCCAGCTCCATACTCACACTTTGCCGGGAAAATGCCGCGATCAGCACTCCCACACGAACCCCTTAGGCTGCCCGGTATTGCACCTGGAACCGACCCCTAATTCCTAGGTCCCCAGGCTTTCAATCACGACCAGGCTTAATTAAGCTTCTTCCTTGTCCTCAGATGGAGACAGGTCCGGTATAACCACCCATTCTTTCAAAACTCTTTATATCCCAAAAACTGCCATATTGTTATTCCCAGAACCTCCCTCTGTTATTATACATGGAGTCTGCCAATTGCAGAGGGCTGATTGCGCTTCGAAACTCACCGCACCGCTCGGGAGTACAGAGTATAACTCTGCTTCGCTACGTATCCCACCACACGGTCACCAGTGGACTATGCGACGTGATACCCGGCCAGATTTATGCTCCTTGAAGCCGATTATGCCCACCATGGCTGGTTATCCGAGATGTAATCATAAGTACGTCTTCCTCCAGCTAGAGACTGTCTGGGTAGGGCCATCAACCCCACTACCGTGCGAGAAATCCTTAACGGACTAGCTATGATTTATCAAGACCTAGTCATTGCGAAAAAATTGACAGCGCACCAATTCGAACAAAATCCATATTTTTTTTTTTATTTTTTTTTTTTCAACAACACAGCTTACATACACTCAAATTAAAAAAGGGACAGCGGCCGTCAAGGCAAAAATGATACAATAAAAACCAAGTGTGGGGGAGAAAAAAAAAAATAAACAAGGAAAAGACTCAAACAAAAAATTCCCGCCCTATTTCAACCCGTAAGAAAGAAAGACGACCAAAAGGGGGAAAAAAAAAGGAAAAGAAAAGAAAATCGGAAAACTGATTGGGAATAAGCCATAATTAAACAGATCCGAGCATCAGGGTGGGCGAGGGTGATGGTAAAGAAATATAAAACAACAATCTTCTTTTCCTCCAGTATCTCCCGCCACAATCGCGCCAAAGTGCTCAAATTCAATGCAACATCCAATTTCAAAAACGCCTTGCTAGAAATTAACACGAACAGTTCGTATGCCACGTTTTATCATACGTCGTGTATCCGGAATGGAAAACGAGTGAGATATTGAGGACGGGCCCCTGAAACAGAAAGGGTCTAGTATTCACAGTCGTTCAGAGGAGAGACAGAAAAGGGAAGGTAAAATTCGTGGGATGCTCAAATCCGTTTCAATACGTTTCTAAATCATCCGTCCAGTCATCACTGCCACCAAGTCGCTTGGAGTGGAAGCTACTTTGAACACAAGCATCATCCGACCCCACACCCCGGATGCTCTTTGGTTTGTTTGGGTAGCCGAGCTGGGCTTCAGCGCCAGCTCGTTTGCCTTGGGCGGCTCTCACTTTAGCATAATATGCCTCAGTGGCATCAACTTCCGGCTCTGAGGCGTCGTCGTACGTCTCCCAGTTCTCAGAACCAGACGCCAGCGTGTTAATTGTGGACGAGTTCGATATTTGTCTTGGGGGAGGACTCTGGGCTTGGTATTGTTGTTGAAATTGATTGGCATATGACTTTGGCTGTTGGTTGCAAAAGCTCACATCCTCACGGCTAGATATGTACGAAGACGTGAAGGACTGGTCCGAAATGGGTCTATAATGGGACATGGACGAACTCATGAAGGACCGTTGACGATCATCATAGACGTCTTCCGGACTCACTGGACGCACCTTTCCACTGGATGTTGAAGACATGACGCTACGACTACGGCTCAGTCCGGTTTGGTACGTAGCCTGCGGCGTCTCCTCTCTAGAGAAAAGCTCCCTCATCTTCGGTGGAGGTGCACGCGGAGGTCCCATTTTGCCACGGAACGTGCTGGTTGAATATGACTGAGCTGGTTGGCGGTCCGGGGAATTACTTCCATCGGGCATGTTCGCGAGAGGAACCCGGGCGGGGATCTTGGTTGGTGACTTTGGTCGAGGATTGGTACCACTCCTCAGGGACCCGGTTCCTACAGCATTGCGCTTTAAGGTTCCATTTCCAGTTGGCGTTTTAGCAGCAGACGAGGGATTCTGTTGGCCGCGAATTGTGCCACCGGCGCGCGATGGCGCAGCCCTGGACACGGGACGTGAGACCGAGGGGCAAGGGGTCTTGGAACGGGGAGGAATTTTCTGCGGCGGAGGGCCTAGCTCATCCAGATACCTTTCGCCATGGACCAAGAATGGTCTTCCATATTCATCCTCCCAAGTTTCCAATATCTTCCGCAACTCTACTTCAACTTTGGGCAATTCCTTTGATATCCTCTTTCGCATCTTTTCCTCTCTCAAGAGCCGAGTTGGATCGCGTCTTTGACCAGTCCCACGACCCATTAATCGAGAGGCATCCTGGCTGGAAGCGGCAAGGGCATCACGATCTTCAACAAGAGAGCGATGTTTATCAATCAACTGGAGGACAGGCATCCGTTGCTCCTTGAGTGCTTCTAAGCGAGCGATCTCAGCTTCGTGGGCAGAGAGTAAAGCGTCGCTATAGACGTCCGAGAATGCCGGAGTGAAGTCAAGCATCTCTTCTTCTGAGTAATAAAGGCTGTCCCATAGTTCCTGCAGGCGACAGCGAGCGTCTTCCACAAACAAGTGAAGATTCTGTCGTTTAAGCTCGTTGAGCCTAGCGAGTTCCTCCTCGAATTCGTTAATAGTCCGTAGCCCGCAGCCACGATTGGCGGCGAGGAAGCCCTTTCGGTCGGATTCCTCAACACCCAATCGGCCCCACAGGGCTTCGACCGCTGTTCTCAGTTCTTTAATCTTGCCTTCTCTCGCTGTTTTCTCGTTCAGGAGTTTGTCGCGCTTGGTTCGCAAGGACGCAAGGTCTGACTCGTGCAGACCAAGCTGCTCGGGAGAATCTCTATGGTGTTCCACGATCGCAGGATCGGTCTGGGCTTGGGGTGTACCGAGTTCTGCCCACAGCTTTATTATCTCTTCGCAAACCGTACTGACGGTGACGAGGCGACGGTTGTATTCTTCGTAGACTCGAGTAAACTCATTGTCCAGCGCATTCACATAAGCGGCAGACAAATCGAAGGATGGAGGGACGATTGTACCAGGGGCTGTTGGGGGGAGCGGAATCTTGACAAAAGTTGACTCAAGATGGGAGGAATACGACTCGAGTGCCTCAACAAGTTCTAATACTCGTGTTAGTTCCTTGAAGCAGCAGCAAGAGAAAGGCCCCTTCGGGGTGGATGTAATGTGCCGTACTCTTCACCTGCTCGAAGCGTTCCTGATGCCTTTTACCGACGGCATGTTGCTTCTCCTGGAGAAGAGCGAGGCAATGGTTTAGCGGAAGCGTGACGCGGAGGTCTGGGTCGTCCGATGCGCGTCGCGAACCATATGCGCCGTCATCAAGCGACGCTTGCATCTGTTTGATCGTCGTGATAAGGCGATTGGCCTCCTCAATCATATCGTTCTTCTCGCTGTCTGATGTTAGCAATAGACGAAACGCAATGGCATACATATGTATCTTCCTCTTACTTATGAACGCCTTGCAAGTGGCCATTGAGTGTTTCTAACAGCGCTACAAAGAGCTAAAACCCTGGTCAGTGACATGCGACGTTACCTCCGGAGCTCTGCCGTACCTCAGACTCCCTTGAGTCCCGTTCATGGTTTGGGACGCCAATGTCATCGAATAGACCGTGGAGCTGTTCGACGATGTTATTGACCTGAGTGGTCAGGTAGCTGGTGTCCACGGTCATAGCGAACCGGAAGCAGCACAAATTATCAGGAGACCAATTGTTGTTTAGCAAACGACAGGTTGTAGTACTTTGCCACGCGGTTACTAGACGCTGGAAGGCATTCCAAACCGCAAAGAGAGGACAAAGAAAAAAAAAAAAAAAAGGGTCAAAAGGTAAGGGGAAAAAAGAAAGTATCGTCGCGTCGCGAAAGAGTGAGCTGCAAAAGTTTCAGAACGGGGCTCCGGGGCCAACGACAGCGAGTGGAGCAAGAGTCGGTCAATTGAACAAGTCCAAGTCCATCTGATAAGAAACAAACTCGCATATTCAAGCCGCAGCAGCCCGGGGGAGGAAAAAAAAAAGGTGCTTGCAGGAGAGCAGGCGACACAGTTCCCACAGGATGAGGTTGCGAGCAGAAAGGAGGGCAGCCAACGGGGAGGCGCGGGATCAGCTGCGGCGGTTGTTAAATGGAATGGTTTTTGGCGAGAAAACAGCATGACGGGCTGTGTTGACGCCGAGTGCCGTCGGCCCGGCAACCGCTGAGTAAGCATGCTCGCCGCCTTCGTTCTGCCGTGCCCACCCCACTATGACAGATTGCGCTAAACCGGAAACGGCCGCTGAGGTCATCACTGCCCGCCCAGGCAAGAGCAAACAGAAAGCTCCAAACAAGCAAGTGGCAGGCGCAACCCGACGTTTCTCCCTCCGCCGTTCAAGCCACTTTTTTTCTCCACGCTGCAGCCACCTACATACCTAAGCCCGGCTTGCGAAAGTTACCTAATGACGGACTGAGCCGCGCCTCTCTCTCTCCGCTTCTCCGCCGCGACCGTGGAAAATCTGCTGTTGGAACGCTCACGATGGACGCCGCTCAGAGATCCTGGGGTATGCTCTAACTATATATCGGTCCCTCTCCAAGTTGAGATTCAACCTATGCTTACAAAAAAAAACACACACACACACACACACACACCCCTCTCAAAGCTAACTCACCCTCTCTGCAGAGATAGAAAACTGTGTCAACCTGGTCGACCCCTATCGCGATGCCCTCTACACCTACGATCCCGCCGCCTCCCAGGCACTCATGTCCGCCAAGCCCTGGTCCAGGGACCCCCATTATTTCAAGTCCATCCGCATCTCCGCCGTCGCCCTTCTGAAAATGGTCATGCACGCCCGCTCTGGCGGCAGCCTCGAGGTCATGGGCCTCATGCAGGGCTACGTCTCCGCAAACACCTTCGTCGTCACCGACGCCTTCCGCCTGCCTGTCGAGGGCACCGAGACCAGAGTAAACGCCCAGGACGAGGCCAATGAGTACATGGTGTCGTACCTGCAGGCCTGTCGCGACTCGGGCAGGATGGAGAACGCGATCGGCTGGTATCACAGCCACCCGGGCTACGGGTGCTGGCTTTCGGGGATCGACGTCTCCACGCAGGATACCCAGCAGACGTACAACGACCCTTTCGTCGCCGTCGTGATCGATCCCGACCGCACCATATCCGCGGGGAAGGTGGAGATCGGAGCTTTCAGAACATATCCAAAGGATTATCAGCCGTCGAGGGCGGAGCACGACGACGACGGGTACCAGAGCATACCGCTGCACAAGGTGGAGGACTTTGGCGCGCACGCGTCGCAGTACTACTCTCTCGAAGTCTCGCATTTCAAATCTACACTTGACACGAAGATTCTCTCCCTTCTCTGGAATAAGTACTGGGTGGCGACGATAAGCCAGAGCCCTCTATTTACGAATCGCGACTACATCACGAAGCAGATGGCAGATATAAGCGAGAAAATAAAAAAGGCCACCAGGGCCGTCGAAAGTAACGCCCAACGGGAAAATACCTTGGTAACCAACGATCAGCAGCTCGAGAAGGTTGTCAAGGCGGGGAAAAGAATTGTCGGAGAGGAGTTGAACGGACTCATGGCTGCTGAGATTAAGAGAGAATTGTTCCAAGGGGTTGGACCGCAGGCGGCGGGAAAGACGTGATACGTGTAGAATTCCACTATGGCATCTGTAGAGAAATATCTATGGATCCGCGGCACTCTTAGCCTTGCTTGACTATTTTCCCCTCCCTCCTTAAGAGGGCTTATGCATACTATTTTACGGGTCAGAAAAGTACGAGATAGATACTAGACCAACAAGCGCTTGAAGGTAGGGATTAATTTCAAGCTTAAAAGTCATGCAATCGCATTTTCAACCTCTCCTATTAGATACATTCTTCATAAACAAACCGCCCCCCAAAAAAAACCTTTCCGCAAACCCTTTTAAGCCCCTCCTGAGTTCGCCCATTTACGCCACCGGGCTCCTACCACTAAATACCCCCTTACACCAAGTAGATTTATTCATTCTTCTGAGCCACTTACTTATCCCCCGTGACATTACCTTTGTGCCAAGCTTGAGGCATGAGCCTAACCCATCTGCTTGGCTTTGAAGGAGAAGGAGGAGAAAGAGAAGGAGGAGAAAGAGAAGGAGGAGGAGGATCTTCATCATCCAAAGATGTACTTCCTGACTGAACCTGCGGAGGCTGGGTAGGTTCCTCCTTACGAAATGAAGCACGTAAGGCCATCCCGAGCCGGGTAAGAGGGATGCGAAGCATGGGGAGGCAAGCGCAGATAATGCCAGCGTTGGCCTCGATGGTCGTCCACATAGTTGAGATCAGAGTTCCGTAGCTCTGATCCGCTGCCTCAGATGAGACTTTAAGGGTTGTCATTCGCAGAATCGATGTAATGCATACACTGGCTTTTGTTAGTGGTGCATTGACGCGACCGCAAAGGGAGCTAGGGCAACGCACAAGATTCCTAAAGTGAATATTGCCGTCAAGCCAAACTTCGACCGATAAGGAAGATAAAGTGTGTGAACCACAGGCATTGGCAAGATCAGGATGATAAGGTCTGTGGTGATGTTCCAAGCTGCATTTGCATACCAGAATGCAGTGAAATTGATGCATGTTCCGTTAGTTGACCTGTCCCAGACCTTAACAATAGGTATGCATTCAAATATCGTCACGATAATGCTGGCAATTGCATATAACGCGACCAAGACAAGAACATAGTTGCAAATAAGCTGGAAGCGAAATTTGCGTGTTTGAAAAATGCGGCGGTAGAGAAGCACAATTGAAATTTTAGTCAAGCCAATGGTGCATTTATAGAAGATCTGCAAGGTGTAGAACAGCTGATAGGGATCTTGTCAACCATCCTTGTTGCCTTGTGTATACAGTGAGAGCATACCTTCAATGCAATAAGCATGTCATGTTTTGGCACTTCACTCGCATGTTTCCCGTATCCATAGTGTATTGCTGAGCTTAAAGTCAGTATTTCTTGCCAAAACTGGAAGAATCAGAAGTATACAAAGTTTAACATACCAGTAATGTTGACTGCATTCATTGCTAGAGAGAAAAGCTGTATACCATTAGCCAGTCATCAAACAAATATTCCTGACAGGGAGAAGCTTCAGGCAGTACCATAGATGCTAAAATAGCATAATCATCAGGTGCTAGGCTCCGACCTACATAAAAGCGGACATGAAATCGATTTGCAACAAGTAAGAGAGCGATGATTATCAAAACAATCTGAATGATCATAGTGTCATAGCCTCTTGCACCTGGAACATGAGACCGTTGCGCGACGCGAGATAAGCTTCCAACGACATCATAAAGCAATGCCATGATGGTTGTTAAGTGCGGAGCTGCAAATCAAAGCTTCACAATGGGAAAGAAACCTCACGCCGAGCAGCTAAAATCAATAGGGATGGAGAAGATCCACATCTGAGAGAAAAGACAAGTGAGAGAGTTCTGAGGTTGCAAGTGAAGTCCTCACGCACGCGATGTTTGTGTGAGGTCACATGTGTCTATAGAACGCCATTAAAACAAGCGAGGGTTTGCTGTGTTCTTCATGGAATCTATGACAGACATAGTGCCCTGGTTACAGACCTATGTGACAACAAGTGCACTCCAGCAACGAGCTCCATGGCATAGAGCGGCACCAAATTCATGGCAGGTTCCGTGCCAAGATCAAAGAGTCAGGTGTAACAGAGTTATACAGTGCTCTTGGGGGTATATCCATTTTTCGCCGGAGGATCAGGCTATACAGATATATGGGTATCTCCATCCTGAATATTGGACTTTAAAAGCTGGGAATATAGCCGTACGCAGAAGATATATCGAAGCAGAGCTACATAGCCCATCCACCACGAGGAGAACGGCGTATTGGAGTTTCCATCCTATTTCGATAGGCCAAACTGACTGATAGGAACTCAAAGAGCACATATCAATACAGGCTGGTAATGGATAATCCATCGTAACTAGGGTATTATCACACATTCAGGATCGGAAGAAAGGAAGCTTGGCCTCCTGTCATGAAAGTATACACTGTAGCTCACAGCTCATACTCCATCAGGGGAGTACGCCTAGATGCTAAGGGTAAATAGCTATAAGGATTGACTGTGTGGAAAGCAAATTGGTGCATTATCATGTTGGTTGATACTGACATGCAGCTCCGTCGAGCAACGAAATGCAGAAACTTGAAGCGGGACGAGAGGATGGAGTGGGACGTCGACCAGGCGGCTCGGATCAACTAAAAGCCGGTATATCTAGCAATCGCCATGCTTGAGCGATCACCGTCGGGGGAGAAAAGAAAAAAAGAAAAAAAAAACAATAAAAATAAATTAAGATGGCTGACATTTGTATCCCATCAAAGTCTGGAACTTCCTAACATCCGCATTTATCGACGTTGAGCCCTAGTTCAAACCAAAAGGATGATTTTAACTCGCTTCTTTGTCCGTTTGCAGCGGACCAAGATGCGTGGCACAGACCTCGATAGGGCAGCGAACCAGATAATGTGTTAGCATCTTACTTATAACCACTGTCTTCCCAGGTTTAGGGGTAATCCCTTTATACTGCATGGCTTTACAGCCTGTTACCCTGCAGAATGCACACATAAATTGAATTCTAATCGAGGTGGTTTGAAGAATAACTTGTTCCACATAAATACACCCGACATCTACGAGTACACACATATACATGGCTGGGCTGAACTGTGGTTTGCAAATACTGCGAAGATATCACCCACTGGAGCCGTCATCCGTCGACCAGCGCAAACAAGAAACAAAAGATGATAGACCATCCCGACTTCACTGCCAGCGATGGCACAGGTAACACGGTTTACCCGGCCTATACAGCCGCCCCACTAGCCCGAGAATTGGGTATCATGTTTGGATTTATCGGCTTATCAGCGATAACTATGGGGCTATACTGGATTTTCTGGCAAGGTTTGTCTCGGGCACTACGTAATGCAAGGACTTTCGTTGTATTAATCGTTCGGATTCCAGCCGCTCAAAAACGAAATGCCACCAAGGAAGCCGCCAGGCTCGAGGCCATCGCGGCCCGTACTCGTGCCCGTGCAGTTGCGGAAAAGCAGCCAATGCGGGATGTCAACAATAAGGATAGGATCCTAGAGGAACGCAATAATCTCAACGGTAGCAGTGGAGAGGCTAGAAGGCTTGCTTGGAATGAGACGAGTGCCAGCCGAGTGGGATTGGGAGAGCTGGAGGAGGATTTGGCGATTTGAAACCAATCCTCGGGCCCTGAACTCTCTTTGATGATTCGATGACTATTTATCAGACGCACACGAGAAATTGAAATGATATAGCATATGACACTGGATTTGCACATTAATGGCTTTTTGTTATTATCTTGGAGACAACAAAATAGTCCTCCTGACAATCTGATACCTTAGCGAAATATAGGGTAGATATTTGATGATTCCAACCGCAAAATCTAGGAGCATATCAATATCAATACCCCTTCAGCAAACGGGCACTGCGAATCCTACAGTCCACCTCATAGATCCCATAATAACAACCAAAAATGATAAGGCCAAGCCAATTGTCAGCAGGCCATAACGATAAGCGTGTCGAAGCTCTAAGCTGTATAACTCTGCGATCCAGGTGCTTACAGTGGTAGTACATCCGCAAAAGCCATCAAGCACCCCATTTAGGACCTGGCAGCCTGTAAGACGGCCGACACTGAAAGCTGTCGTAGATGCGGGCACTGCAACGACGTTGGCTGCGTGCTTCAGATCGAAACACATCCCCAAAATCATCGTTCCGAGCATGTTGACCGTAAAGGTACCAAGAGGGAAAGCCGGGATCCGTGCATTGAGGAATAATGAGACATAGTAGCGCAAGAGGCAACCTAGCGGTGCAAACACAGTAGCGAAAACGGCTCTACCACGCCAATTCTGATCGATGCCGTTATGTCGATCTGGAGGCCAGATTGCGAGAAACACGGCTCCAAGCCAACAGCCAAATCCTAGAACAACCATGGACCGATCAACGATTCTGCGCGTAACAATAAATGGCAACGTTGGAGTAAACCGATCCAGGGCAACAGCGAGATGAGCGCCGAAACCTAGCGATGATAGACTAAGGGATATCGTATATAAAATAATGGCAACTACTGCCATAAAGCCGTATCCACCGTTTCTTGGTAAAATCGAACCCGTATTCGGATTAGGGAGATCGTTCGACAATGCGAGGAAGACGTCGCCCATGAACGAGGAAAAGGACGTGAACGAGCCACAGAACCCAGTCGTCAAACCAACGTAAAGTGGTATGGTCTTCTTGACCGCTTTATGCAGCTTGAGATTGTTTTCAGGACTCGTTCCTCCTTGGTTCTCCTCTGACGAAAAGCCATTTCCATGCTTCTCGGTGTTTTGTTGCTGGCCCCATTCTTCGCGGAAAATATTCCTATCCTCAGCAAAGAACCCCATCAGCAAGCACCCGCCCACGTTTGCCCATAGCACACCAGTTGTCACCGGTGCTCCGGGATAGTATGTAAGCGCCTCCAGCCCAACTCTAGCCAAGGCACCAAATATCGAAAAGAAAATCAGGTACGAAACAGTGTACAGCTTCGTAGCGCACTCCGATAGGGGGACTTGAGACGATATAACGCTGGGCGGGGGCCCGGAAACCCTCGATTCCGCACTTTCTAATGTGGCCCACGGCTCCCGGTGCGACGGTCTTCGTTCGACAGGAGCTGGTACAGCAACCTCGGAGAGCCGTGCTCCTTGCTCTTCAGCTCTCCTGAATGCTTCTTCATTCAGTCGTTCGCGTTCTTCTTCTTCCCTGAGGTGCTCTTGCTCAATCTCGGGGATGGCAAGCTCGGTAGGCGGTACGATATCTTCTTCTTCCCGTGTGGGTGTTTCTTCATCTCTCGGCCGCAGGTCCGACGGCCGTTGCCCCGATGTGTCTGTCTCCATGTGCTCTCAATGATTAACATTGGATCTGGCTGTCTCTAGCCAGAGCCAGCAGAAGAGGCTCTCGCCTTTGCTAGCGAGACGTCCAGTCTTAAGTATCGATCCTCGCGATGGTGCCGTGGAGTTGTTGGAGTGTCCCCGTAACAAACGGCCAAGCCAAAAAGTTCGGTACAGGGTGGTAAGATTCGATCAGATAAGATAAATAACTGGTAGCTTTCTCCGCCCACCGAAGCTTAATCCGTAAACCCCGCGTTTGGCCCGCCCGTCAACAAACACGCTCCATCCAGCCTCAACATAGCGACGAGATCGTGAGTCCTCCGGGCAAAGCTATCGGATACTAACTAATGCCCTTGAATCCGCTGTTTTATTGTCTGCCAGAATAAGCTGTTAATGCGCAGAGTACTAGTCTTTTTTATTCATCCTGCATCTCTTCCCTGTCCATAGAGCAGCTAAAGCCCAGTAATATCGCCTCTGCAAACCCGCCATGTCTGCCTCTCTTCCCAGTAATATTCGGGTTTCTCGTCATCCATGCCTGAGAGCCAAGCTCTCCCAACTTCGATCCACCAAGACCACAGCTAGAGAGACAAATTTCCTCGTTAGGGAGATTTCAACAATATTGGGCTGCGAAGCCCTTGCTAACAGTCTAGAAGCTACAGCAGATGGCACGGTGAGCAGACCATAACACCCAGAAGGAAGGGAGAAAGGTTCCATGAAACAGTAACCAACCAAAATAACAATCTACATGTAGGAAACCACTCCTCTCGGATATAATTACGCCGCTGAAATAATCCACCCGAGCAAAATCGCCCTCATCCCGATCCTACGATCCGGTCTGGGAATGCTTCAAGGCAAGAAAGAAACTAAAGAAGCCTCCTCTTAGCACCTGTCTATTACTTCAAAAAAAGGAAAAAGAGAAAAGAAAAGAAGAAGTGGAATTCCTTTTCTAACTGACCTAATATTTTCACAGCCATCCAGGACCTCCTCCCTCAACCCGTCCCCATCCACCATCTCGGCCTCTTCCGCGAACCCATTACCCTACACCCGGTAGAGTACTACAACAACCTCCCGTTCCACCGCACCACTTCAGGCGCCGATACTAGCGAATCAGCGGCTGATCTGGCCATCCTGCTGGACCCCGTCGTCGCCACCGGCGGGACCGCAGCAGCCGCCATCCAGACCTTGAGGGAATGGGGCGTGAAGAAGGTGATTCTTCTCAGCGTCTTGGGGAGCCACGATGGCCTGGTCAGGGCGGCGAATGAATGGCGAGACGGCGTGGAGGTGTGGGTCGGGGGTGTGGATCAGGAGGTTGATGGGAAAGGTATGATTGTGCCTGGTCTAGGTGATATAGGAGATCGTTTGTTTTTGGCGCAGGGGAAGTAGCTAGTCGGTTTGTTTTGAACTGTTGAGTTCACCTCAGAGCAGGCCTTTTTCGGGGTTGACCGGGACTCGGACACTTTCCTATGATATATAGTACTTCGTTACGTCTGTTGATGCTGCGGGCTATGTAGCGACGGGAATAGGAGAGGTCGTGAAATAGCCTTTCTAGCAGTGATTTCGATCCAATTCCACATGGTTACGCTGAGAGCATACGCTTTCCCATTCCTCAAATTTTACATCGAAATTACTCCATACCAGCGAAATGGACTACAGGATGGAAACTAAACCCCTATAGCATGCTCGATAACGTCGGAGAAACCTGGGCGATATTGTACACTGCAAGAAGCGGACGAAAAGAAGATTAAAAAAGAGTTCGCTATCAAATTGATTAAGCAGATCAGCGGAGAGTCACGTAAAAAGACACAAAAGCGTTAAAAACACACTCACAGAGACAAAAATAAAAAGAGGCAAGTTCGATTCAAAAACGCATGTATAGACACGAAACTAAGAATAGGGCTCGGCAGACAGCATCGGAATTAAGCGAAGAAGAGCCCTGGAACAGAAGGGGATATAAGCTGCGAAATCAGAAGTATCGAGTGCTAGCGGGCGACCGAACAGGATCTAGAGAATGCAAAAATCACAACGACACAATAAACACTCGATGATCAGAAGTCAAACTAGCACAGGTAAAGACCTCAGGAAAAGAAGGAGCGACGATGTCAAAATATCCCGATAAAGGCGAAATTAACAGAATTAGATCGACGAAATAATAAGGCCGCTAAAATGAAGAGGATAAACAAAAGCAGAACTAATAATATGCAGAACAGCAACAAAACGCAGTCTGACAAATGACTCGGCCCGTGTGAGCAGAGTGGAAGAAGGCATTATGCAAAGGAATTCAAAAGCAAAAGAAGCACTAAAGATTAAGCAGTCCGGGGGGGGAGCTTTAAAAAGCAGCCAGGATTCGAGGAAACACTCAGGACCAGCTGGTGTAGGGGTGTTGCCCTTGTTAACAACCCATCAACACAATCAACGCAACCAGACCGGACTCCTGTGTGCTCTCTCTTTCAAAGGACCAGTAAGAAAACAAATCAAGACATATTAAGAAGAAAAAGGTGAAGAAGACGAAAAGGAGAAAGAAACAGATTTTATGAACCAACAAAGCAGCAGAAGCTAAGGAGAGCGAGAAATCAAATCCCAGATGCTCAGCGGAAAGGAAAGCGTTGCAAACGAGGAAAACATCCCGACAGAAAAGCACCGTGCCGCCTTCCCGTGCCAATCTTTCCCAGAAACCTTTCCACAAATTCCGGTATCCCGAACGCGTCAGAAACTCAATGACATCAACCGAGGCGACGAAAATACCGTAAACGACGTGTAACAATGCTTGCAATAGGAAAGGGAGGAAAAAAAAAAAAAAATTAATGCTGCTCAAATGCTCGAGGAATTTCACGCCCAAAGCACCGAAAGCCCATAAAACGCCGCTCTTTAAAGCCCCACCAGTATATATTGAAGATGAGAGGGAGGATAAATCAGTTAAAAGAAAATCAATTCCGACGCCACGATCGGCGGTTCGCTGCGAATTAGTAGGCGGTTCCTACGCTCGCGAGGCCTTTGGTCGGCATCGGCTCCAATGGATGTTCGGAAACTGTCATAGTTGAGTCTTCGTAGCCAACTAATGCCTGAGCGTGAAGCTTAAATGCTTCTCCCATGAGTTTGGTGATACTGTTCATTACTGGTTAGTTTCCATCCCAGGCTTCAGTAATTAAAGAGAAGACTTACCCCCACACCACTACACCATCCAGTATGTTACCCCACACCCGCGCAACGGTCGAGCAGAGCTGAGATCCGTAAGTCTCCACTGAATCGTTGCTAAACAGGTTTCGAATCTTGTTGTAGAGCACAAGTTCACCATCACTTGCGGGTTCTTCATCATGTTCCAGGCGGTACAGCCAGAGACTCAGTGTAACCATCAAATCCATACCGCACAATGGGTGTTCCACACTCCAGTTTGTCGCCGAAGCTGTGGCAACCCAATTCAGGCCTTGAATCGCAGCTATTTCAATGCATTCAAAACATTGCTGGATGACCTTGTTCATTTCTTGGGATCTCTTAACCTTATCACGAGCGACGGTCATGGCAGCGGCGACTTCGTAAGAAGAATGATATCGAAGGGCTTCCTGGATGGATTTCAGGTCGACTTCCAGGCGGGCCCGCGTGTTACGATAAACAGCCATCGAGTTGAAAATCAGTGGATGACCCTTCTGTGGAGTACTGACCGGAACGACGATGGTCTCCGGCTCGCAAATATCGAGCGAGTTCTCCCAGGTGTCAAGAGCAAGCCGAAGCTTGTATCCCATGACCACATCTTGCAGCGCCTCGATGCTGCGTTTGTGATACCACACCTCCAAGAAGAGCGCATTTATCAAAATTCGTGTAGCAAACGCGCTGTATCTAACCGTTTCACCACGGAATAAGCTGTCATGCGCTTCTCGTGAGGACACCGGATGATAAGCTGACAGCGCACGTCGCCATGTATAATTATCCGATATTTCGAGATTCCACAACGACTCCGACGAAGGAAGTTCCAATGTATCGAATTCGTCGAAACTCATGGCTGGTGTGTGATTGAAGGTGAGTGTCAACATGCCAAAAAACACGTAAACAGCATAGTAAGTGCGACGACAACCTTCGTCTTCTACCCATTCATCGTGGGTTGGAAGGGCGCCTCCTCGTGCATCCATACGAAGCTTCAGCTGATATCGATTGCCCGCCACCATCTATTGAAATGTTAGCTTATTGGCTCGTAAAGCACCGTACAAGACATAAATTCAACTCACATTGGCAAGCAAGCTCTTTATCGAGCATGTCCATTCAAGTCCTTTGGGATCACCGCTCCAGCTTTCGAAGATCATGTTCAACAAGGTACTTTGCATGGCCCACAGGGGGCATTTCCTCGAATCGAAGTTTTCCTTATGTTGCAAGAACTGGTTAACGAGCACCTTGGATCCGATGTGCAGCATGAAAGCGGGCTCCTTTTCGAACGTATACAAGGCTCCTATGGATAGAACAGCAAGGAGCAACGGCGCCGACGAATCCTTTGGAGAGAAAGAACCTTGATGTAAGAAAGGAAGATGGTGATGGTACATGTTGAAATACGTCGACAGATACCGATTCATGGCTGTGGTGGTTGGCAGTTGGAATGTTTCAGGTAGAGCCCCGAGCGCATCGCTGGCCCTAACATGTTCAATAATGATGTTTCGCTCTGCGTCGCTCGATATCTGAGGTGGCTTTGGTTGAGTCAAGATCTGGCTTGGGCCTGGAGACCGACGATAATTTACTGGAGACACGGGACCAGTCATCGAAGGATAAGGGGAAAGAGCGTTTGGAGTTGAATTACCGGATACCGGAAGCGAGCTGACCAGAGAATGCAAAGCTGGGGCTAAGGGTTCTGAGGCTGCATTGCTTGAGGAAGCGAGTTGGCTTTGATGACTGTGGGAGCCCGAAAACCGATGCTTTGAATCCTGAACCATGGAGTGTGGCTTGACTTCGGAGGGTGTCATAAAGGAATCCCAAGGCATCTGTGGTAAAGTTGCGTTTCCTGGTAGGTATCCCACCGACGGTTCCAGTACCACGCCATGATCATGAGAGTATGCCGGATCCGAAGTCTCTCCACCGAGACCCTGGGAAACCGTGGCCGCTGCCTTGTGTTGGAAATCAGTCATCAACATCGCTGCCGTCTCCAGATCAACCATGCCATCGCTGCTCGCTTCAATTTGCTCCAAGGCGGCGGGATCTATTGTGATTGATGGTTTTGATGGCCCTGCCGTTGCTGCTGGTGCTGCTGCGGGAGTGGAATTCGAATTGGAGTTCGAATTAGAAGCATTATTGGCCGCTTTCTGTCCACGCCGACGACCCTCTGCCACTAAAGGTATGCCACCATCCTTTGCATGTACTGTGCGGTCATGGCGGAGCAGCAGGTCTCGTCGGACGAAAGTGCTTCGACACTTTAGACATTTGAATGGGCGCTCTTTTGTGTCTAGGGAGGAGACGGGAGTCAGTGAAACCAAGGGCATAACAATCTTCCGTCTTCCAAGGGGATGGCTTTTCCGACACGGGAGAATGGTGGGGAGGAGGGGAAGAAGAAGATGAACTTACGGGAACGTTCATGTCTACTACGATGTTCGCTCCGACTAAAGGCACGGTTACAGAACTGACATTTGTATTTCCGCTCGGGTGCGGTGGCGGGCTTCTTCGCCGAGGTCGCGGTGGAAGGAGCCATATCAGCAGCGGATGAGAACGCAGATCAGCTCGCGAAGGACTTGGCTATAGGAGGTTCTATAGGGTTTATCGACTGGTCTGCGCTCGCACGCTGTGACTGGGAGGAGCACGATGTTGAAGAAGGTATGGATTCGAAACTGTTCATTCCTTGGGCGGGGGAAAATGAGTGGGAAGTCAAAATTCAAAAGGGGGACCGGCCACGGGCTGATCGGGGTGAAGAAGTCAGAGATTCATGTGAAGTAAAGAATAGCATATATAAATACCAAATGAGTAAAGAAGAAATAAGGAGAAAAGGATGGGTGTTGTCGGTGAGGAATGATACAACAGTAAAATGTTGTTGAGGGTCGACGGCCGTGGACGCACAGAATGGGGAGGAGAGTGGAAAAAATAATGGGGAGATGTGGAAGTGGGAGAGACGAAGGTGATGTAGGCGTGGAAGTAGTGGCAGTACCGGAGGGGAGACAAAAGGAGGGGAGCGAGGGGCAGATCAAGCGACACTGCAGGAAAGTGGTTGATTTGTGCGAAATGCTAAAGACAACGCACCGCTTTCTAGAATGCACGAGCCATCCCGCCGTATTTCCTTGAGAAACACACCCCCTGTATGTAATGTAATAAGGGTGTGTTAAGCTTCGTATACAAGCCCGTACGGAATACAGAGACACTCATACATAACATGCCAGCCGCGGACAATACGGTTCTTATGGAGACCGATTTGTATTTTACTT